GTGACAGGGTGACAGGGTGACAGGGTGACAGGGTGACAGGGTGACAGTTCACTAGCTATTACCTCCATATACTACAGCATGGAGACTGAATTCCCATTCTTCTGACTCAGAGCGGAGTCAAACTGACTTGCAAATTTACTTTATGAGAGGAGGATTCCATCTAACCATGCTTCTTAATTTTTTTATTTGAGGAAATGACAATGTTAACTTTATTATAATGATGAGGTGGTGGTGCAGTTAAATTGTCACTGGACTAGTAATCCAGAGACCCATGCTCATGCTCTGGTTACATGGATTTGAATTACACCATTGCAGCAAATGGTGAAATTTGACTTCAATAAAATACGGATTTAAAAACTAGCCTAATGCAACCACTGATGATTGCCATTTTTTAAAAAAAAAATGGTTCACTAATGTCTTTCAGGAAAGGAAATCTGCTATTCTTACCTGGTCTGGCCTACATGTGGCTCGAGAACCATAGCTATCTGGCTGACTCATAACTACCCTTTGGAACAGACTAAAGAACTGTTCAGTTAAGGGTATCTAGGGATGGGTATCTAGGGATGAGCATCAAATGCTGGTTTTGCCAGTGATGCACATACCATTCAAGAATTTTTTGAAAAATGGTCAGTCTAATCTCAGAGGTAGGACTCTCATTTCAAAATATAAGGCAATGAGATCAGTGTCCACTCCAGAGACTTCAGCATATAACGCTTAAGTACAAAATTAAGGAAATTGAGTCCTCTTTGAGATGCTGCTTTAATTGTTATGTTGAAGTGAAATCCCATCTGCTGCCTTGGATGGATGGAAAGGATCCTGAGGGTTTATATGAAAAAGAGCAGGCATGGTATCCTGGCCTACATGTATCCAATTTATTTTCTTGTAACAACAACTGGGCATTAAAATATTTCATTGGCTAAAGTGTTTTTTTGTGATATCATGAAAACTTTAAGGGGCTCTGTAATCACAAGTTTCATTTTTTTACAATGCTGAGTATCTCAATTTTCAAGACATTTGGCAAGTTTTCATATCAGTAGGTTGAGAATTGGCTCAAAATTAATGAAGCTGTCGGAAAACAAAATAAACATACATTTTACACAATTAGTGTGATAATAGCTGAGAATGTTGAAAGAGACCAATGAACCATAATAAACTTGATGTTCAGCATCTCCACTGTTTGCAGAATAATGATTAATGAAGTTAATAGCATAAAGCCAACTCTGTATACAAGTCAGATCATGTCCTCATCCACTTACACAATGCTTTGCTCAGACCATGGATTGGGTAATCTTATTGTCAGAAAACAAAGTGGAGGCAGTGGAGAGAATAATAACATGTGTCTAAAGTTATGAAGGAGGCTAGAGAAACTAGATCTTGGTCACCTGACAGTGTCAGAATGAGACCTCAGCTATTTTTAACTCATGGACCCCATCACCTGATGGAAATGCCTATGAAGCCCGCAGGAGTGAGTCGAATCTCACATATGAGGAAGTTGATGTTGACGATTCAAAGAAATGATCATTGGCTCTAGGTAAGTCATTGGAGGAGTTCTAATAGATATTTCAGCGGAAACTGGTACTGCTCATAGATACAACACTATATAATCTTATAATTTAATATAGAGGTTCCCAGAATTGTTCAGCTGACTGTGACAATGTTTAAACCCCATTTCAATGCAAACAATAGCAACTTGATTGCAAACAGCAGCAAGTTGTGAACAATTCCCCCAAGTACTTACTGTTGCATAGAAAGGAGTTACTTACCTGAAGTGCATCTTCCCATTTTGCTCTGTTTTCTGCTTCAAGCATGTAGCTGACAATCTGAAAGAACTTCTGGGTGAATTAAAAAAAAAAGAAATGGCGTAACTCCTTCATTTCTTCCCATCTCATTTTGAAAATTACTTATTTTCTAATTTGGGTGTTCATGGATTTAGGTTTCAGAATATGATCTGAAGAACAGAAAAATCTGCAATTTCTTGGAGACTTAAAACTTTTTCACTATTTAATGCCTAATACCCAGGGTGATAGTGGGTTGTGAGTTACATGATGATACGTTCAATATGCAGCTCAAATAATTTTATAAACTGTCAATGAAGATGCAACGGGTTATGGATTTTAGTTGATCCAAGAGAACAAGAAGATGGCAAATGGCTAAAGTTTTGGCAAAGATCTGTAGCTCAGGTTGTGGGTGAGGTTATTGACTTGCTCGTTGAGCTGGCTTGTTCTCGTTCAGACATTTCGTCACCATGCCAGGTGACATCATCAGTGGAGCCTCCGATTAAGTGACGTTATTCTACTCCACTTGGAAGTTATACCGTCTGGTCTGTTATGGTGAGTAGTGTCATTTCTTGTTTTGATCTGTATGGGTTTGTATAGGGGGTCCAATTCTATATGTTTGTTAATTGCATTATGGGTGGACAATCATGCCTCTAGGAGATCAAAACCGGAAATTACAGCACTCACCATAACAAACCAAACAGTATAACTTCCAAGTGGAGTAGAATAACGTCATTTCATCTGAGGCTCCACTGATGATGTCATTTAGCATGGTGACAAAACGGCTGAAGGAGAACTAGCCAGTTCAGTGATCAAGTCAACAATCTCATGGCAAATGGCATTTGCAATCATTTACTGAAGCATGCTGAATGCACTGAATAATTAAATAGTGGTGTCAATTTTAACACACCCACCCCCTGAATTTTGCCCAGCATGAATAGTGAGTCAGGGAGGCAAAGATGAAACTGATTTGACTTACTGGCTTGAGGTTATTTCCTCATCATTTTCTTTTCCAGTGCCATTCTACATTTGTTAATCTTTCAGTCAGCAGAGGATCCCACTACAGGCAGACAAGAGCTTGCTTCACATGCAAAAGTGGATGGGTGAATCAAGGAGAAATCAGTACTATGTGACCCTGACAGATAAGCCACAGCAGGAGATACTGGCTGACTGGAAAATTCTATAGTAAGCTTTGTAAATGGACAGAGTCCTTGCTTCCTTTGGGTGACACGGTGACTCAGTGATTAGCACTACTGCCTCACATGGCCAGGTACCCAGGTTTGATTCTAGCCTCGGGTGATTGTCTGCATAGAGTTTGCACATTTTCTCCATGTCTGCATGGGTTTCCTCCAGGTGCTCTGGTTTCCTTCCACAATCCAAAGATGTGCAGGTTAGGTGGATTGCCCTGTAGTGTCCAAGGTTGTGCAGGCGAGGCAGGTTAGCCATGGGAAATACAGGGTCACAGGGGTAGGGGGAAGTGGGTTTAGGTAGGATGCTCCTTGGAGGGTTGATGTGGACTCAATGGGGTGAATGGTCTGCTTCCACACTGTAGGGATTCTATGATTCCCTGTTCACAATCCCCAAACTTGCCTCTCTCTGGACTGTAAAAGTTTTTTCTTCCCAATGCTGAGGCTTTACGTCAATTTCCTATATCTGCTCACGAGCCCTGCCTGTTTTCTATGTGAATCAATGCACTGCACTTGGATTTAAAATGACTGAATGACTGAAACGGACAGCAACCAGGACACCTAAGATATTCACAGCAGGCCAGGCAGCATCAGAGGAGCAGGAAAGCTGACGTTTCGGGTCTGGACCCTTCTTCTGTTCATCCAGCTCTATACCTTGTTATCTCAGACTCCAGCATCGGCAGTTCCTATTATCTCTCACTGAAGATATTCATTCGGTTCACTGAGCGACAACTGGTTATCCTGGTGGATACAGTAAATACAATGATGGACACCCACTTCCTATCTGGTCAGAAAACGTCCCTATCTTTACTAAGAGGATGTGGTTGGAGAACACGATAGTGGTTAGCAATTTAGAAAGCACAAACAAACCTGGATTCAATGCCACAAGTGTTTCAGTGACCTGCCATGTTTAGGCAAGTTGAGTAAGACTTTCATTTACACAGTGTTTTCCCTCAGAACACAACATGAAATATGCAAACTATTTGGTTGCTGCAGGTGCCTGTTACTCATCTGTCTTGGAGGAAGACACATCCAGGTCACTGATGTAGCAACCCTGTTAACATGTGAGGTCGCCAAAGACAAGATGGTGTTTCAAACAAAGTGGAGAGATTTCCACCCCTACATCATTTTAATCACCCTTGCCCACTTTTCCATTCTGAAGAAATGGGAACAATGTCTGAAAAAGGAAGAAGACAGAGATGGAATCCCAATGCTACAGTCCATAAAGACAGTGGAGAAGAGGGCAATGGAAATTTTCAGTTTGCCAACAAGGGAATTTGTGGGTGATGGCAAATTCTCTTTCAGGTACACATGACAGTGGAGGAGGTATCTTCTTGAATAGCATGGTCTTTAATATATTGCTGATGGATGTAGGGGAATAGTTGAGTTTGGGAATGTGGTGGTTGTCATTAGATGGTGGATGTGTGGCACTTAGTATGAGGAAAACATTTTCTGCCAACGTAAAGTATTGGGTGATCCATTCAGAAACGTGAATAAGAAATATTGAGGATCTCTATGAATTTCTAAAGTAAAAATATCTTGATCCTCCCTCAGGTCCCAACAATGTGGTCACCCCCTTGGGCAAAAGGAAGAAGGAAATTTGTCTGAAAAGATTGCCACACGAGAACATCTGGGCTTTGGATTCGAGATATTGGATGTTGAATGCAACATTGAATGTATAGGAGGAGGTAGCTGAGGGTGAGGGTTCGGTGGACAGTCACCTATGAGACAAGGGGATAGTCACAATGATGCTCTATAGGGCAGTGAGCAAAAGCCTTGGGAGTCAGTGTTTTTGGACCTACAACAGGAGATGTGAGGCAGATCTGATACAGTTCCCTGAGGCATTGAAAGCAAATGAAGGTGTCCTCTGCAGTGATAAGCATAATGATGTTCCAGGTTCTTAAGTGCATGAGCTTCGCCGATGAGGGAGTGATCAATTTCATGGTTGGACACACATGGGACCACCAGGAGTGCATGCAGGAGCCACAGATCTCCACAGACTGTGTGACTGTATCTGAAGTGACTGGAAATAAGGGCTCTGAACAGGATAATTTCACAGACAGCCCAATGATGCCTGAAGGGGTATCTGAATGCCTGAGTAACAGACATCTTCAAGCCAGCAAGATAGTACACCAATGGGTTGAGGATGATCCAGAGGAGGATGAAGATTCCAAACAGATGGAGGGAATCTCATCATCCTTGGCTTTCTTTGTCAGGAGTCTGTCTGTGAATAGTGACCAATCAATGACTACCGCCTGGTGTCTCTGACCATTAATTGTGAAGTGACTTGAAAGGTTAGTCATGGCTCACATCAACTCCAACCTACTAAATTGCCTTGATCCTTTAAAATTTGCCTACCAGTGCAACAGGTCCTCAGCAGACACCATCTTCCTGGCCCTACATTCATCCCTGGAACATCTGGATAACAAGGATATCTGCATCAGGCTCCTACTTATTGCTTATAGTTCCGATTTAAAACAATATAATTCCAAACAAACTCATCTCTATACTCCGAGATCTAAGTCTCAGCTCCTCACTCTGTAACTGGATCCTAGCTATCCTGGCTCATAGATTGCAATCAGTAAGAATAGGCAATAACACCTCCTCCACCATAATCCTTAGCACCGGTGCCCCTCAAGGCTGTGTACTCAGCCCCCTACTTATACATTCATGACTGTGTGGCCAAATTCCACCCCAGCTCCATTTATAAGTTTGCCGATGACACCACTGTTGTAGGTCGGATCTCAAACAATGACGAGACAGAACAAAGGAAAGGGATTGAGTGCTTAGCGGAATAGTGTAAAGACAACAATCTCTCATCATCATCAGCAAAACAAAGGAGCTAATCATTGACTTCAGAAGCAAAGTGTACGGCACGCCCCTGTCTGCATCAATGGCGCTGAGGTGGAGATGGTCGAGAGTGTCACGTTCGTGGGAGGAGTGATGATCACCAACAATCTGTCCTGGTCCAGCCATGTCAAAAAGTACAACAACATCTCTACTTCCTCAGGAGCCTAAAGAAATTCAGTATGTCCACAAGGACTCTTACCAATTTTTATATATGCACCATAGAAAGCGTCCTATCTGGACGCATCACAGTATGCTATAGCAAGGCCGCAAGAAACTGCAGAGAGTTGTGAACACAGTCCAGTCCATCATGCAAACCAGCCTTCCATTTATTGACTTCATCCATACTTCCTGCTGCCTTGGGAAAGCAACCAACATAATCAAAGACCCCTTCCCAGAACAGCTTCCTCCCATGCTGTTACCAGACTCTTGAATGGACCTTTCAAATGTTACTTCTGATCTCTCTCTCTCTGCACCTTCTCTGCAGCTGTAACACTGTACTCTGCACTATGTTCTGCTACCCTGACACACTTTGTATCAGGATATATAGCTCCACCTATATAGCTCCCAAATCAACACTTCTCACTTCATCTCGGTACATATGATAACAATAAATCTGTCAATCAATCTATCATGGCTGAAGCATACATTCATGCAGTGCAGTTGCAGGAAAGTCCCCAGCAACTGTCTGCAGAAAAAGTTTGACTGCCACAATCTTCACAACTTTATACCCAAAGACATGAGCCAGCTGTCTTCACCTCTTCCAAACCAACATGGCAACACTTCATGGGAGTGTCCAATTGCAGAGACCCGCATTGGGTACAACACTAAGGGATGTGTAGAATATACAGATATAAAAGGGTCTAGGCCCGAAACGTCAGCCTTCCTGCTCCTCTGATGCTCCTTGGCCTGCTGTGTTCATCCAGCTCTACACCTTGTTATCTCAGATTCTCCAGCATCTGCAGTTCCTACTATCTCTATAAAAAAGAACTGTCTGACACAGTACTATAGTCAAATAATTAGTTTCTGCAATGGTAGCATGTATATATGTTAATGAATATCTAATATGTAGATCATCAAGTTCTGCAACAATACACTTTCAATAAGCATTGGAAAACATATTAGTTTGGCTGCCATCTATGTGAAGACTTAGACTTTGTCGAGTCTCAGCATGCGGTCCGTCAGCATCTTCCCACAACGCCTTCAGATAACATGTTGTTGGATCAGTGTTCCTTGCAATAATGGCATCCTGCAGGGACTCCCCAGCATGTCTCTGGGCACAGCTCAACCTTACACCACACTAGCTCAGTGTCTCTGGCCTTAGACCGTCCTGGCTCTTCTTGAAGCACTTTTCTCCTCCCTCTTCTGAGGATATGGGACAATGTTCCCTCTATCTTGAGGTCACACCACTCTGCTGCACCATACTTTACAATGTGCAGACAAGACAATCATCCCTGCTATCTTGACAGGCAAGTATGTGAGTATTCCACAGAATGGTAAGGTATCAGGAACTCAATTTTAGTAGGTGTACCATCTATTCAATTTATGTCCTGATGTGGATGCAGCTCTTGTTATATCTGCATTGAGGCTCTGTCTAAGGAAACTTCAGTGTGGTTGGAAGCTGCAACTTTCAGAGGGTATAAAAACAGGAAATCCTGGAAATATTCAGCAGATTTGGCAGCATCTGTGGAAAAGGAAACAGTCAGTATTCCAAGTTGAATATGACTCTTATGAAAATCACTCTTATTGGATTAAAAAATCCTGGGCATTCGTTTCCAAGTATTACGTGTTGTTATATTTTTTTCTCCTTCTGCCAGACCAGCTTTGTTTCCAGCATGTTCTGCTTTAGATTTCTGGAATTCACAGTACTTTAGTTTCTTCAGAGTATTCCTTTTCATCTGGAATCTATCCACATTGCAGGAAGTCAGGTTGAAAAGTTGAGCTAAGAAAGTATATGTACATTGTAGCAGCTCCAAGGACAGCACGCACATTTTTGCAACAAGCTCATCTTATGGTTGTACACCAGCTACACATTTATTGAATGCAGTCTTTCTTGTTGATAAAATGGTCTGGTCTCTCCATGACTGCTTTAATGAGAACAGAGGTCCAATCCAAAAAAACCCTCAATCTATGGATCTGTGGAACCAAATCCAGTATAAATTTTGTGTCTGGGAAGCTACAATGGCTGAGCAGCTGATGACATCAAGCCATACTTGCAAAGAGAGAGTCTGTGATGGTGCTAATGATCAGAGAGTAGCAAACTGGGAAGATCTACACAGGTCAGCAACCGAACGCTGAAAGGAACATGAGGTGAATACTCTGAGGGCCCTGGTGAAATTCTGTGCTACTGGCAGGGCATGTGGGCATGGTTAGATCCAGGGACCAGGTCTTCGTTTATCACAGATATTGGTCACTGCCTCCCTGGAAAGGTGAAGTCTTCTCCTGAACTGACATTTTGACGTGTTCAAGAAGATATGCCTATTGTGCGATACAGGTTGCTCTTGATATTCCCTTCTCCTTCTCCTCTTCAGTGTTAGCTACTGAGGCTCTGCCTCTCTTGGAAACCTTTCTCATGGCATTCAAGACTGCCGCCATGGCCTTAGCGGACTGTAGATGTGAAAGAGCTGCATACTTGTCTAGTGTCAAACTTCTTCTCAGAAGAACACCAATTTGAATCTTATGCGACTCTGAAAAAAACTAAACTTCACTCTATTCTCTTCCTTCAGTCTTGAAGCAAGTTAGCTATCTATTCTGCTACTTATCCCGTGACTCTACATCTGCTGACATTGTATAAGCACCAAGCTGTCACTAATACCTTCATCACAAGGACTGCAGCAATTAAAAGTCACCCACAATCACTTTTCTCAGGTAAACTAGTAATGAGCAGCAATGAGCAGACCATACCAATGGCAGTTACATCCAGATACTTTTTTTTATGAAAAGAAAATATTTGTTAATATGATTGCTGTATGATGTTGCAAGTTCTACAGCGTATCCTGACACATATAGATGAAGACAGAAACTGCAAAAAAAATGCAGAACATCAATCATCAAATACAATCCTCACTTGTATATCACCAGAAGCAGGAATATAGCTGGCTCTCTTGAACGTATCTGTCACGTTCCGTAGTATGTCTGCAGAAAATAAGAGATCTCCACTGTAGAAATTCTTTCTCGCTATTAAACCCAGCATAGTTCTTATTACTTGTATCATGCCCTCTCCTGCCAAGGTCCGCTGTCCTTTAGCCAGGTGCTCTCGGATCTAAACAAAGCAAATACACACAGATTCAACATATTGTCACTTAGAACAACCAGATTATCTGAACACTTGCTGAGACTAAATTAACTGTAATTTTAAGGATCAATAATCATTGCCTTATTTGTAAACGATTAGCTCCAGCACATCTTAATTTATTTGTACACTGATGATCTGAGTATTCATCTCTTGTCATTTTATTAACTTAACCTACGGCACTTCTCAGGGACTCACATTCAGGTCTGCAGATCCACCAGTTACAATATTACATTGTACTGCTTGATACGGTGCTCAAAATATACCATTCTTCCCATTTCACAAAATTAAGTATTTCAAATGACCTGAAGCGCAAAACAGAATAACTTGGGTGGTATACGCAAAAGTTAAATGGGATATTCTGAATATCGCATGCAGGTCAGAGATAATATCTTGAATACTATGGGGCAGGTTTTCTGCTGGCCAGACAGTCGTTTTGCACACCCCTGAAGAATCCCCATTATAGCAGGAAATTAACACTTCCTCTGTGCAATTCCCGCACACCTGGAATCCTCTGAAAGTCTCCGTGACTTGGTGACTTCAGATGATTCCAGTGAAATTAAGTAAAACTGCTACTCAGGAAAAGGTAAACTATTAAATAGTGGGTGATTTCAAATACGTAGTTTAACTTCTGTAAAGAAAACTATTAAACAGACCCCATACTTAACCCAAAGACTATATGAAATTGAGGAAGTTTTAAAAGCCAACTACAGATGACAAAAAGAAACAGACAGGGAGAAAATAAAATATAAGCAAAAACCAGCAAGTAATTTAAAAACAGAAAGTACGAGTTTATTTAAATATTTTAAAAAAGGAAAAGAGAGACCAAACTGAACATAGCCCCCTTACAGAACAAGATAAGAAGGAACCAGGAAATGACAGGGAGTTGAATAAATACTTTGTATTAATCTTCATGATATAGGACATTAATATTTGTTGGCCATAATTAATAGGTTTGAGTATTGCCAAAAAAAGACACATCCTGTCAAAGTTTTTTGTTTTGTATTCATCATGATAATTTCTAAAAAAGAAACACTAGAATGAAGGGAAAAGGCCCCATATCTTAGGAAGGATGCATTAGCCTTGGAGGAGGTCCAGAGGACATTCACAAGAATGAATCCGGGTATGAAGGTGTTCTCATATGGGGGACTCTGTGTCTGTACTCAATGATGTCTACAGGATGAGAGGATCTCTCATTGAAACTTACAGAATACTGAGAGGCCCAGAAAGAGTGGGTGTGGAGAAGATGTTTCTATTGCTAGGACAGACTAACACCAAACGGCACAGCCTCAGAATGAAGGGACAATAATTTTGAACTGAGATGAGGTGGAATTTCTTCACCCAGAGGGTGGTGAATCTGTGGAACTCATTGCAGCAGAGGGCTGTGAAGGCCATGTCATTATGTGTCTTTAAAACAGATAAATAGGTTTTTGATAAGTAAGGAGATCAAGGGTTATTGGGAAGAAGCAGGAAATTGGGATTGAGAAACATATCGGCCATGATCGAATAGTGGAGCAGTCTCTTTGGGCTGAATGGCCTAATTCTGCTCCTCTTCCTCACATTCATATGGAAAACAATCCTTTTATGCCGTATAAAAAGTGCCAACTTGTTGGCAAATGGACCCTGAATGGTGAAAATGTTCCCATGCACCAGTTAAATGATTTTGACACTGAACAGCCAAGCTTTGCTGAAATTTAAACTAGGCAGTTTGACTGATTATTCAAGACGTTGACTGAGAAATGAATCAGAGAATGACGGTCACTTGTTCTGTTGATTTGAAACAGATGCAATGTGCGCACGTTTTCTGTCTGCCTGCAAACAGGGCTGTATGTATTAATATACGTAGCTTTTAGTGCACACAAGTGTGGCACAACTCCAGCCCTCGCTGACAATCCTAAATTGATTGTCAGAGTAATTCTTCACGCATTTAGACAGGATTGCCTCTAATTTATTTTCTGCTACACAAACCCTCAAAGACCGTGCGCGGCATTGACTTCAGGAAAGCGCAATGCCTCAACCGGCAAAGCGATCATCGCGAGGGAACTCTGACTTTCGCATGCGCAGACTAGTTAGGTAGGACCATAACTTTGATTTTTGTGAACAGCTGAAGGACTTGTGATTTGATACAATCAGCCAGTCTTTTGCACGCACATGCTTGGCACCCACTGGTACTGAAATTCATCTGCCACATTATTGCTTTGTGTGTTAAGTAGATCATCTTTATGACTTGACGACAGTATCATGTTATTGGTGAACACCACTTGTTGTGAATGTATAGTAGAAGCATGAAATCCTACATCAAGACGTCTATAAATTGCAGACAGAGATAATGCGCTAATTTTAGTACAACGGCTCATTTAGCTGTTGTTTCGTTCAAACCGGAAAATCTCAACAGGAGCATAACAGTTCTAACATATGCAGCCATCTCAATAATATTTGAATTGACTTTATTTAATTTGTTCAGATGGAATGGTTTGAGGGCCTGTATGGAACAGTGTTTTTCCTATGTTCTAAGAATTCGATAATATAAGGTAATTTATTAAGAATTGTTTCAAAAATTATAATAGCTGAAGTTAGAATTCTACCAAATGGGAATGATTGCTAAGAAATTCAGGGCAGTGCAACCTCATGCAATAGAAAAAATGGAAAAAAATCATTGGAATTATATTGCCTGAGGTTGATGACTCATTAAAAATAAAGTTGATTTTTTTCAGTAGCTTTAAACAATTACGCAAAATAACTTACTTGGCTACAATTAGTGAACTAAAATGTAGCAATGTTGCAATCTCTTAATCAATCAATGAACACTGTAAGGCTAAAGCTGAATTAGACCATAAGACCGTAAAAAATAGGAAGCGAAGTAAACTGCTCACCCCTTGGAGCCTGCTCCGCCATTTAATAGGATAATGGCTAATCCCACACACCTCACGTCCATTTTTCTGCCCTTTCCCTGTAACAATTGATTCCTCTACGGATCAAGAATCAATCTATCTATCTACCTCAGCTTTCAATATAAAAACAAATGACTCTGCCCCTCAGCTCTATGTGGAGTTCCAAAGTCTCTCAACCCTCAAAGAAAAAAAACCTCCTCAGCTCAGGCTTAAATTGGCATTCCTTTATTCTGGGTCTACGATCTCTGGTCCAGACTTTCCCATGACAGGAAACAATCTTTCAGTATTTGTCCTGTCAAGCCTGCTATATGTCTCAGTGAGATCACCACCCATTCTTCTCAACTCCAGTATGTAGAATCCCAATCTGTTTAGCCTTTGCTCATGATAAAATCCCTCCATATCAGGGAACATCCTTGAGAATTATCTCTGAACTTCCTCCACTGAAATGACATCCTTCTTTATATAGAGGGACAAAAAAGTTCACAATACTCCAATGCGGCCACATCAGGACCTTGTATGGTTGCAGTAAGCCTTACTTGTTCTTATATTCTGCCTCCATGAAATAAGGGTCAATATTCCAACAGCCTTCTGGATTATCTGTTGCACCTGTGTGCTAGCTGTCTGTTTCGAGCAGAAGCACCTCCAGGCACCTTTGTGTTGCAACTTTCTGCAGTTTCTCTCTATTTTAATAATATTGTTTTTCTGTTCTCCCTTCCAAAGTGAACGTCACATTTTCCCACATTATACACCATTTGCCAAAGTTTTGCCATCTTACTTAACCTATCGGTATCTCTCTGTAAACGGTTTGTTTCCCTCTAGTAAAAATTGTCTTTCCACTTAGTTTTGTGTCATCTGCAAATCTGGCTACAGTACATTTGCTTTTTTCCTCCAAATCATTAATATACATTGTAAACAGTTGCAGTCCCAGCACCAATCCATGAGAAACCTCACTGGTCAAAGGTTACCAAACCTGAAAAGGAACGCCTTATCCTCACTTGCTGTTTCCTGTCCATTTGCTAATTCTCCATCCATGCTAATATATTACCTCCAATACTATAGGCTCTTATCCTATGACTTAACCTTTTGTGGCATATCTTGTCAAATGCCTTCTGGAAGGTCTAATACATTTAACACATCTACTGGTTCTCCTCTATCCACTCTGGTTGAAACTTCCTCGAAAACTAGTCAGACATGATTTCCCTTTCCTGAGGCCGTGCTGATTCTGCTTGTTTAGATTATTATTTCCAAATGTTTCTTTAATAATTGATTCCAATACTTTTCTACCATTAGATGTTGGGCTATTCGGTCTATAGTTACCTCCTTTAGCCTTCTCCCTTTTTGAATAGGTGTGTCACATTAATAATTTTCCAATCTCTGGTACTTTTCCAGAATCAAAGGATTTTTGGAAAATTATAACCAATGCATTCACTATCTCTATAGCTACATTTTTTAGCATCCTAGGATACAAGCCATCGGGGGCCAGGAGATTTATTTGCCTTTAGCCCCATTAGTTTGTCTGATACTATTTCTCCAATGATGGTGATGGTACTTAATTCCTTACCTGCATTGTTTAGTATTAATGGGATGTTTGAAGTATCCTCCACTGTAAAGATTGATGAAAAATATCTGTTTAACTCCTCTGCCAAAACCTTGTTCACTATAAGATTCTCTGCAGATTCATTTTCTAAGTGCCTATGTTGACTTTGACCTCTCTCTTCCTGTTTATATCTTAAAGGAGCTCTTATTGTTAGGTTTTATATTCCTCACTAACTTGCCCTTGTTGTTTATTTTCTCTGTCTTTGTTATCTTTTCAGTCCTCCTTTAATGGATTTCGAATTTACCTCACTTTATGGGGCTATCATTGACTTTTGTCTCCCTGTATACTTTTTCCTTTGAATTTAACACCCTCCTTAACTTCCTTGGTTAGCCATGGTTGGTTTATCCCTCTCAGAATCTTTCCACCATTAGTTCCAACCAATATATTTTGAAAAGGTATAGTGAACGAAAGGGAATGATGTATATGTAAAAATACACGATAGAATATACTGCCATTCTTTCATACTAAAAAGTATCTAAAGA